GCATATCTGTGCCTGGTCCTACGTTGTAGCTGACTGACTGACTGACTGAGAAATGTACATCTGAACAATGTATACACGAAATGTATGGAATTGATTGTAATAGCTTTCTTTTAAAACGATCAGCCATAAGAATTGGGTTTTGTTAAAGAAGATTTAAATATATATGGTGACTCAGTATTAAAAACTTTACAGAATGAATATATCTGAGAAACTGTAACCTCTTTTTTGAGTATACACCTAATAACATAACTTCATCTGAAATTTTATAACTTAGTGAACTGATATTAAAACTTGATTCGATTCATTTTATTCCAAATTAATTCTATCATTTAACGGAGGGTGAAGATATGATCAATACATCCTCGACATGAACGCAAACCACCCGGTTCCTCGAAAGTCAATCTTTCCCGGGTTTTGAACAGTCTACGAAGTATGAAAGAAGCCAATAGTTTGGACGCAATTGTGGGTGGACTTATCTATCGATAAGTGTAACTGAAAAAACTTAAACCCTTTATAAAGATAAGGATAACTATCGACTCGTTTCATGATGTTCGAACACTCTTTAACTTCCAAACCTTTGTAAACAACTCAGACAGTTCATTGACCAAAAAGTCACCATCATCTTTAATAAGGGAAGGAGGTAAGTTTTCTGGGTCTGGTGATTTGCAGCGCTTCAAGAGCTAAAGTTTCTTAAGGACTTCTACCTCATTAGGTGAATCAGTCGTCACAGGCCATGGTGGGCAGGACAATCTGATCGATGTTGTCGGGGCAGCTGACCAGTTAAACTGCTCCTCAAAAAACTCTGACCATCTTCCAAGACGTCGACAGATGTTAGTGATTAGCAACTCGTAATTTTTGCAGATTGTTTCGCTCACACCAGACTTCCTGCTGCCAGTGCCTCGGATGAATTGAAAGAGCTTCCGGCAGCTTCTGCTTCCGACTCATTGGAACACTCCAACCATCAGGCTTCTCGGTCTTTGCCCAATTTCATTGCGCAACAATCTTTGCTTATGGTCAAACATGTGGTCTTCCGATGTAGACCGACCAGCTTCAATGAGTTGTAAAGAGCCTGAAGAAATTCAGTGCCTATAAACGAGACTTTATTCATCATTTTCATGGCGTCATGTCATTGCAACCAATGCTCATGTATATACTTTTCAGTGGGATGGTAGCTACACTTGAACCTAGCTCAATTTTATATTTAGTGGCTACAAAAGCTGCAATCAATTTACTGACATAGATCCTATCATCATCGATCCGATGATGAATTATTCATTACAACATCGAATTCAATATTACTATATCATATTACTTATAAGTAACTATTATTTTAATTCAAAAGTTTGTTTATCTTTAACGAGTTAATGCTTCTTATCTGTGTTTCTAATTGAATGTTTCTTAAGGGTTTCATCATCTGGAATATGTTACATTTTAACTTATACATCTTTAATGAATCTAAGACCAATAGATCATCTTCGTTAGTAACAACCTATTACATTGAAGGTTGTATTTAATAAATAGACAATACTAAGTTAATGAAAATATATGAACTGATGGATATGTAGATGATCAATATCGTTAGAAAAATGATTTGACTAGTTACTATAGATCTCATTTGTTATAAAATATTGATAAATTATATGAGTTCCATTGTGAACTACTATACATCTTTTCTATAAAATAATTAAATATCTAGTTTATTAATAGAATTCGTGAGTTAGTTGATACTAAAACACTATGGAAAACCAAGAAGTATTGAACAGCTTTTTCGTCTTAATATGGGACTCGTCAGTAGTGCAAAATCTTGATCTTGCCTCTTGAAATTTGAGCCCAGGATCTATTAGGCTCTCTCATGAACTCTTAATCTCTAGACCACTGAACCGGTATCCATAATACTCACAAATATCTGTCAAAATATTCCTTTTCCTTAATCTTTAATAACCAATAGTATATTTATATATTATTAATACCACTGTGTAGCTCATCTAGGGTTACTATCTCATTCCAAACTTACATAATTTTTTCTGGTTAGCGTTTTTTTTAGCGAGTTAGTTTTCTACGGAATGGGGTCGCTAACCCCATGCCCAACCCTCCTCCTTTATCCGGGCTTGGAACCGGCAGTAGCCTCCGGAAAGGGGCTCCAGGCGGAGTTATCTCATTCCAAAACTCGGATAAAAAAGAACGGTTAGATATGGGGTTGACAATCTTATCCCATAGAAAATAACTATGCTAAAAAGAAACAACTCACTAATCAAAATAAACAAATTAAATTATTCATGCCTTGACTCAATGTGAACTAATATACCAATTTAGAAAAAGTAAAACAGTTACCTTTTATTCATTTTATAAATATTTATGATAAATATTATTATAAAATAATAATAGAATCTTGTGAGATGGGATCATGGATACTCACTGTTGAGGAATCGCACAATAGAACGAAACAACTGTACAAAGCTTCCAGGTTATCTATGATGGTCTAGCTTTTATGAACTCATAATTTCAACTATTGAAATTATTATAATATCCACAAAAATCCTTTCTGATATTAATCAACATATGCTCACTAGTGACTGACTTCATAAGATATTTCTTGGAGTTCTAGTGAGATGCAGTGACCAATGGAATTCAACAAGGTTTATCGTGAGATAGTAACTCACTGAAAATAATGATGGATGTGTCGCTCAATTTCATGAATTAGTTGAAGTTAGACATTAACACCATTGAATACTGGCCAATTCAATAGTCTAGAGGTTAATCGTCCTGGTTTCGAATCGTAGATACACATTGTTCATGAATCCCAAAATAGAACAAAACGGCAGTTCAATGCTTCCAGGTATTCGATGATGGTCTAGTTTATGATCTCAACTATTGAAATTACTAATAATATCCACACAAAATTATCTCTTCTGATATTAATCAATATCTATCTATCTATCTATATATCTATCTATCTACCTATCTATCTATCTATCTATCTACCTATCTATCTATCTATCTATCTATCTATCTATCTATCTATCTATCTATATATATATATATATATATATATATATATATATATATATATATATATATATTAGTATCAGAAATGGTTTTGTGGAGATTTTAGTAATCTCAACAGTTGAGATCATGAGTCAATTGAAGCTAGACTACCATGGAAAACCTGGAAGCACTGACAAGCCGTTACGTTCTATTTCGCACTGCTGAGGAATTCCACAATAAAACAAAACGGTTATCCAGTGCTTCCAGTTTTTTTATGGTGGTCTAGCTTCAATTGAGTTGGCCAGACACTATTAGCAACAATCTACTGTGAGAGAGAACAAATCAGATCCCAGCAGAGGAATATATCAGAAAGAAGAGCTGGAAGTGGATAGGACAGACATTGAAGAAAGCACCGAACTGTGTCACAAGACAAGCCCTCACATGGAATCCTCAAGTTTGAGTGAGGAGAGGAAGACCAAAGAACACATTACGACGGGAAATACAGATAGACATGAGAAAAATGAACAAGAAATGGATGGAACTAGAAAAGAAGGCGGAGGACAGAGTGTGTTGGAGAATGCTGGTCGGCGGCCTATTCTCCGTTAGGAGTAACAGGCGTAAGTAAGTAAGTAAGTAAGCTTCGATTGACTCATGATTTCAACTGTTGAAATATATATATATATATATATATATATATATATATATATATATATATATATATTACATAATTATTTATTATTTATTTATATTAATCAATATAAATTATTTAAGTGCATAAAATCAATAATCCAATCAAAAGAAAAATCAATTCATTGAACACATGGTCTTTTAAATTTTGAATTTTTCCAATATAAACACTTCTTCTCTCTGTCATTCATTCATTCAGCCATTCAGCCATTCATTCAGCCATTCAGCCATTCATTGATTGAATCATTTGTTTAACTGTACAACTTTGATTTTAAAAGCGCCATATTAACATTTAAATTATATCCTCTAATATATTTATTATTCAATCTTTAATAATTACACATTAATAATATCTATATCTATATTGATACATCTATAGTGATAAGTGAAATTGATCCATTTCATTAATTTATGGATCATATTTCATAGATCTATTATTATTTCAATGATAGAGATTATATATAATATACTTATCATGTTAACTTTTGTAAATTTATGTTCACCACATAAAAGATTACGTAAATGTACTGCCAATTATGTAATCAATAATAATCATAATCATAATAATAATAATAATAATAATAATAATAATCAATATATTAATGTTCAACCAATTTCAAAAGAAAAATTAAAAAAATTTTTTTATCGATTAGATCAATTTCCATTTATTGATGAAATGTATCATAATGATGAATGTAAGTGATCATATTAACTTTTATTATTTTTTTCTTATTGATTAAAATCATGAATTTAATTGATGTGAGATCATCATTGAAACCTTGAAGGCATTGAACGACCGTTTTGTCCTAGTACGGGACTCGTCAACAGTGTGATTCCACAATCTCATGTCGTGATATTTGAACCAAAGATCTATTGGTGTCACGCGTAAATGCTTAATCTCTAGATTACTGAGCCGGCCGGTATCCAACAATGTTAATATCTAACTTCAACTAATTGATGAAATTGTGCGACCATTTTTCATTGTACTAAGGTAGATACCTGTCTCTACCCGACACAGAATTACTCCACTGGTCACAAGAACACTGAAACTTCTCTCACAAAGCTAGTCACTAGTGAGCAAATGTTAATTATCAGTATTGGGGTTGTGGAGATTATTAAGTTTTTGATTGAGATCATAAACCAATTGATGTTAGATGATCATTGAAAACTTACAAGCACTGAATGACCATTTCATCCTCTTGTGAGACTCATTAACAGGGAGTATCCATGATCATCCATGACAGGATCTTTTAGAGATTAAGTGTTCACAAATGTAAATGAAGTGTTTAGATACTGATTTCTGTGTTTAAGGTTGTGTATAAGCACTACTGGTATGTCTTATATTAGAATGAAATGGCTGTTCAATGCTTCAAGATGTTCAATAGTGATTTACATAAGATTAGACCGTAACTTAAATTTCTGAAATAATCCAAATTGATTAGGTTAAACGAAATGGGCTCAAAACACAGAAATTAGAGGTTGTTTGTTTGTTTTCTAAGAATTATAATTCTATTAGACAATCAACTTACAAAGTGATATTGTATAAACATTGTAAACTTTAATCAAGCTCGCATATATTTGTATAGCTGTTAACAACAACTGTTCTCCTTATGTCATCTTTGATCTATCTATATACTGTTTACAGTTTCTTCTAGTTGACTTCCATGCAATTTGAGCTGATATTTTTATGTATCAGGTTCTGAGTTTAATATTATTAATTTACTGAATTAGTGAAAATTAAAGTTGAACCACCATGTGAAACCTGAGAGTACTAGACGCCCGTTTCGTCTTATTGTGGCACTCCTCATCAGTGAGTAGCCACGATCCCGTTTCGCAAGATTTGCACCCAGGGTCTATCGGTGTCTCGTGCGAACGCTTAATCTCTAGACCATTGAATTGGCCGGCATTCAGTGGTATTAATGTCTAACTTCAACTAATCCACGAAATTGAGCGACACATCTATCATTGTTTTCAGTGAGTTACCATCTCAAAACAGACTTGGTTGAACTTCACTGGTCACTTCTTTTCACTAGAACTCTAGGAAATAACATTTAATATAATTCAGATAGACAGTAGTTTTTATACATGTCATGAATTTGACAATCATCAATGTATTTTGTTTTAATTTGCTAGTAAAATAATGAGAGATACTTTCTGTAATGCTGTGTTCAATGAGTAAAATGTTCTTTTGATTCTATTCTGAATAGCAACACTAAAGCCCACCATATGTAAAGGCATAGTTCTTCAACAATTTCATAAACAGAAAAAGGCAATTAACAAGAATGTGTAGTGTTGTAGCGTGGCGTCGAGCCGCGGTTGACTATGATCACCACTACACTGAAACTACGTGCCAGTTACTAGGTTAGATTCCTCTGTAGGCCAAATATCAGAAGGCGATTGAAGATTGCAGTAAGATGTATTTGTTGTCAATCTCGTGATATCGAAAGTATACCGAGATCGTGCCAAAGAGTATAAGTTGAACTACTGAGCGTAACCGAGAGCATGTAAAGTCATAGTCAACGAAAGAATGTATGTTTTATAGTACAGTTAAACAAACAAGTACAGTAAAACAATCACTGGTAAAATTGTTTATAATAATAATTATTCCCATTATACCATTCGCGTTCTCTTCATTACTTGGAAAATCAATCATGAACAAGGCTATCTGTTTCAAATGACTTGACATGTACGTACAATTAATGAATGAAAAAATCACTTCTGTATAAAGTAGACAATGATGATGGTGTCCTAAATATCAGTGATAGCTAGCTGGACTTTACTAGTAAGGTATAAATATCTTAGTCCACTCTAGTATTTGACCACAGATGCCTTAGAAATATTACTCGTATCTGCTGGGATCACCGGGTAAGTAATATTGAGGTTAGACGCAGGGTATTAGGGAATGATGGTAAATCAGTTGATGAGGTTGTGAATCTTCATCGACTGAGATGGTTGGGCCACGTGCTGCGTATGCCTGAACACCGATTACCACGACGCGAAATGCTAACTGGTGTTAGGGATAATTGTAAGGAAGTTAGCGGCGGCCAAACCAAAACGTGGCATCAGTGCTTGAAGACACTAACTTCTGGTCTGAGCCATGTTGGTAGATCCAGACTACTTGGTTGTGGTCCGCGTGACTATCGTAACCAATGGTTGGAGACTGTGTGTGACATGTCTCAGAATCGATCACAATGGCTTGGATGTATACACTCTCTGTCTTTCCTTGAACTATGAGACTAAAATTATTTCATATCTTTCTTTCTACGAACTAATTCTTTATTCCTGTACTATCTCCTTATACACACTCTTTATTTTATATATTACTACCTTTGATGTGACCACTTCTATGAATCCGATGTTCATCTTGTTGTGCTAATGCTGTATGGCAACTTGAATCGATGCATACCTGTGCCTGGTCCTACTTTTCAGCTGACTGACTGCGTGATCTTAGTCTTACAGTAGGTCAATCGTACGCCAAAAGTTTCAGCGGTAGCGGGTCATGCGATGTGGCATCGAATTCTACAGAGACTATCAGTTTTTTTCAAGACTGCAAGTATGAAATATTGATAATTGTTTAAAAATAACCCAACATTTAGATCCAACGATGTTTCCTTCCATCTACCGGTAGTCAACTAGAAATCCAAAAAACGTTACACCAGAAATATTCGTCAATAATATATCTAAAACGGCAACTCATGATTAATCATATGTATCTATGCATATAACTAGTATATTGAATATGAATAAATCAAACTTCCTAACTCATTGACTTGTATAGTATTGAAAGACTTATGAAATACATAACTGACAATCACATGGCTATTCTTTATTTCATTTTATCCTAATTATAGTTAATTAATGAAATGACTAGAAGTTATTTGATATCTTTTATGACATATGATTATGAATACAATACTTACAATGCTTACATTAAAAAAGGTAATACATTTAAAATAGTTAAGAACACATTAATCACATGAACCTACTTCATGTATGTATTGTAGAGGTTAATAAATCCTCAAAATCAATAGTTCTATATGTCTTCGATATTCGGATGCTGATCATATTAGTTTTAATAGACTCATCTAGTTGAAGACTCTTGGTCATACATCCGAATCAGATCATGAATGGGAATGTCGTGTTCAACATCCTCTGCAATCGCTAGCCAGATTAGATCAGACGATTCTCAATATATTGATAGCCTATCAAACTTATCTTTGTATCTCCTCACTTCTGACTTTTGACTTCACCAGGTGGGCATGATTCATAGTAGAAGGTGTTACTGGTTAAAGTGTTTTGAAACTTTAAATACATGTGGTATCTTCAGGATATAATGACTTTCATTAGTAATTTATAGACATTAATCGTTTCCAGCTGTTAACATTAAAGACTGTAATTGATCACATTCTCATTACCATTTTGTTACAAATTTTTTTTCTTTGTATACGGATTAAGGTTAACCATGTAATCCGTAATGTATATTTTATTCGTTTTAGGACTGATCAAATCGATATATCTGTATTCTACTGTCGATTATTATATTAAGACTTGAATCCAGTACCGATTAAAAACATGTTAATGATTATATGGATTCAATAGTGGATCAGATAACAGTGTTATTAGATTTCATTGACAGTATAAAACATTAATAAAACTCAAAATGTAAAAAGAACCTAATGAATTATGTACATTTGCACTAGTCTCAGCATATAACAGTCAAAATTTCTACAGATATATGATAATTAACTTAAGAAAAGTCAATGAAAAAGGTATACAATATCCTACACCATTTTCCAGGGACTAATAATCTAGTTTATGAGTATAAATGTTATATTCTACATTCATAACCTTTCTTTAGCCTACTTCTATGTGTAAGCTGTTGTAGTGAAGTGAAAGACAACATAAATAGGGACAATCAAATGTATTTGAACACATATAATTATAAAACATCTTCGTAAAATTTGAAAACCATACAGTAAATACTTAATTTGTAAAATGTTAATCAATTCTCCTAGACTTCATTGTTTCTGCATTTTCATACTAATTGCATTCTGTTACAGTTCTTTCCTTCTCAACCTTTTACTGCCAGATATTTTAATCTTGACTAACGTTATATACTACTTATATTGATATAAGTAGCACACAGCACAATGATACTTTAGATAAAGAAAGAAGATAATTAATGAATAAATATAATTTATATTTATTTATTTATTATTTATTTTAACACATAAGTATAGCTACAGGGAGGCACCAAGTACATATGCGCCACACAAACCCCAATTGATATGTGTGAGGGCTGTGATACTGCACGTGTGCCCAAATTGAAGCAGGTGGTTTTCTTAGGGGGCAACACCCCGAGCCTTCGACCTGAATATCTGACCCACAAGGCTGTGGAGCATCGTGAGGAGATGCAGTCCCATGGTAGCCGGTGACCAACGATTGGTTCATACGCCATTTGTCGCTTCAGGATACTGGAGCCCATGTGCACCATTGGTTTGGAATCCGGTTAAAGCGCCGGACATTCGCTTTTCGTCCTCTCATTCTTGTAAACAACACCTGTGGCACGAGAATGCAGTGAGTAGGACTTCCCTGGCAGAGGCTATATACGCATGGCCATGTGAGAGCATTTCGAGAGGGAGAGCGGACTCTCCCCACTCTCGGCTGTACAAGGGCATTTGGGGGCATATAATTT